CCTCTTTCTGGCATTGGCACTTGTCTGCCTCGTTATACAGTCGGGTTAACATTAAAATATTGACACCGTCTTCTGTAGTGCTCCTTGAAGCATCACGATGTGGAGTAATCGTCTCCCAGGTGAGGGGGTTTTGATTTGGCACTTTTTCAGGTTTGTCTTAAGACTATCCCTATATCTTTTCAGTTGCCCGCCGGCGATCTGTCGTGCATGTGGGGAACATGGCCAGTCCAGCATAGTTGTTCATGGATAATGGTAGCATCGATGCTCCTGCTGTTGGTGTCGGCAAGAATACTGGCATTTATTCTCTTGTCTTCCCCGCGAACTCAGAGGATGGAATGTAGAATACGTTGGTGAAAGTTTTCAAGTGCCTTGAGGTGCTTCCTGTGTATGACCCATGTCTCGCTGCCATATAGCAGGGTGGGGAGGACTACTGCTCGATATGCATGCAACTTTGTAGTTAATTTCAGCTCCCTACGGCTAAAGACATGGGTACGGAGTATAAGGTCTGTCCGGAAAGTATCCAGCCATTTCCTATTAAAAAAATATTGCTTACCTAGGACAATGGCCCCTTAGTCCCCTTCAAGGTACTCCCCTTGGGACCGCACACACGTCTCCCAGCGTCCCTTCCACTTTTCATAACAGTCTGCAAAGTCTTATTTCGGGACCTCCATCAGCTGCCTCGTCGCATTCTCCTTAATCTCGTCCAGGCCAAACAATAACGAAGGAGTACTACATCAAAGTTTTGGGCCGGCTGAAGGATGCGGTAAGAAGAAACCACCGCAGCTGTGGGCAAGTGGTGACTGGCAGCTTCATGTGACTGGCAGCTTCATCATGACAACGCGCCTGCCCATTCTTCACGTCTCGTGCAGGGTTTTTTGGAAAACATCGCATCACCCAGGTCTCTCAGTCCCCTTACAGCCCAGATTTGGCTCCCTGCGACTTCTGGCTTTTCTCAAAGCTAAAATCGCCGTTGAAAGGGAGGAGATTTCAGACCGTGGACGAGATTAAGGAGGATGCGACGAGGCAGCTGATGAAGATCCCGAAAGAGGACTTTGCAGACTGTTTTGAAAAGTGGAAGGGACGTTGGGAGACGTGTGTGTGGTCCCAAGGGGAGTACCTTGAAGGGGACTAAGGTGCCATTGTCCTAGGTAAGCAATATTTTCTTTAATAGTAAATGGCTGGATACTTTCTTGACAGACCTCGTATATCTCAAAGGCTTGAGATGCACATCCGATCCGATGTGGAATGTCTTCATCAATGTCCGCAGTGGGGAGCAGGTGGGAGCCGAGATGCTGAAAGTGGTCAACATTAGAGAGGGTAGTACCGTTAAGCTGGATGGATGGTGGAGGTGTGTTTGAACCTGGGGCAGGTTGAAAGAGAATCTGAGTCTTACTTACATTCACCTTAAGGCCAAAGTGTGCATACGCATCTGCATAGGTGTTCAGGATCGCCTGTAGGTCGTGTTCAGTGTGAACGACAAGGGTGAAGCCGTCTGCATTCTGAAGTTCAGTAATGGAAGCTGCCGACACCTTTGTTCCTGCTTGGAGTTGTCTTATGTTGAAAAGACCCTTCATCCAGTACTGGATGTCCACCTGCCGGCTAAATTGGCACTAGCATGAGTAAGGAAGGCTGCCAAGAAAATGGAAAAAAGAGTTGGTGCCAGTACACATCCTTGTTTTACCCCAGTTTGGATGGGGAAGAACTCAGACCTAGTGCTATTGTGCAAGACACTGCTGTTCATGTCATCGTGGAGTTGCTTCACAATGGCGATGAATTCTGGTGGGCAGCCAAAATGGCTGAGGGTCTGCCAGAGGGCTTCCCTGTTGACGGAGTCAAAGGCATTGTTTAGGTTGATGAAGGCCATGTATATGCTATGACGCTGTTCTCTGCACTTTTCCTGTATCTGGCGAGCAGCAAAGATCATGTCAGTGGTGCCATTTGATGGTCTAAAGCCACATTGAGATTCTGGGAGGAGGTTTTCTGCCTCGGAAAGAAGTGTGTTTAGGAGGACTCGGGCAATAATCTTGCTAGCTACGGACAGCAGCGAGATCCCGGGGTAGTTGCCACAGTCTAACCGTTCTCCATTGTTCTTATAAATAATGACGATGGAGGCATCTTCGAGAGGTGGATTTCCTCCTTTTCCCTTATATTCTTAAGGAGAGAGTGGAGATGGCTAGTAAGCAGAGGCCCTCCTACCTTATACACCTCGGCTGGGATTCCATCAGGCCCAGAGGCTTTGTTATTTTTCATCTGTTTGATGGCAGCTACATCATGCAGGGATGGAGGATAGCTGAGATGGGTCAGCTCTGGATGCTGAGGGACCTACTGGGTAGTCAGGACATCCACATCGGTGTTTCGATTGAGCAGTGCTGAAGGATGTCTTCTTCACCTTCAATTACGGACTTACCATTGGATGAGCGGAGGGGGCTGTGACATGAGTGAATTGCCCATATAATATTTTAGTGGAATTTAAAAATTTGTGCATCTGGTGTTGATCTGCATGTTTTTGCATTTCACATGCTTTATTTTTAAACCAGTTGTTAATTAGTTTGCTGGGCCGCTACTTTCTTCTGGAAGAAGGTATCAACTTTGGTCCGAGACTGAGGGTTGTTCTGCCAGTCAGTTAAAGCAGCACATTTATCATCGACGAGTACATTGATTTCCAGGTAATTTTCATCAAACCAGTCTTGGTGTATTCTTTCGATCTGGCCGAGGGTTTCTGCAAGTTTTTGTCATAACAGTGTCGAGAATACTCCATTTGGCACTGGAATTTGGGTTGTTTGTTGTTAGATTGTTCATCAGCCCATGTTCGCGTTGCCTTCTGAAGGCATGTGCTTCTGCTGGATCCTCGAGACGCTTAGTGTTAAAACCTCTTCTGGGGGCTTGTTGCCTTCGCCGTTTTGGGGCGACGTGAAGTGAGAGCTTGGCTCTGACGAGCCGGTGATCATTGTCTCAGTGGTCTGAGCCATGCATTGCTCTGGTGATGAGGACATATTGGCGATCTCTTTCTCTGACAATGATGTAGTCAATAAGATGGCAGTGTGAACTTGTTGGCTTGCTTAAAACAAGGTATTGGTGATAGTGAGGTTATGTGCAGCACACTTGCTGAGAAGGAGTAGGTCGTTGGGATTACACTTGCTTATTCCATTTTTCCCTATGATTCCCTGCCAAATGTCAGCATCTCTGCCAACTCTGGCATTGAAGTCGCCAAGGAGCACAACCTTATCTTCTCTGGGGATAGAGGTTTGCACTTTCAAGATCGGCATTAAAGGCCTCCTTGGTGACATCCTCTGCATCCAGTGTTGGGGCGTATACACTGATGAAAAAGGCATGACATGAGTGATTCAGTGGGACTGAGCATAATGAGGTGCTCATTGATCCCAACAGACATTTCATTTAACCTGTGTAGGATGCGTTGCCTGATGGCAAAGTCTACTCCCTAAATGCGGTTTCTCACCACTGCAGGCTTGCTCACTAATGGCTGCTATGTCGATGTTATACCTACCCAGCTCTTTTGCCACAAGGGCAGTGTCTTCTTTCAGAACACTCATTTGTGTCAATATCTAGACGGGTCCTGATATTCCCTGCAGCGACCATAAGAGGTTGTATAGACACCAAACTCATAATTACTACATCATTTGTTGTTTGTCACAACACATAATGGGCAACGCCCTGGGTTATTTTCATTTGATATAACGAAGGTGTACAGTAGCTAAAACAACTATCTGTGCAGGTGGGGGGTTGATATGCTCCGAAATTTTACGTGTGACTAGTGACAGCCCTCATTTACCAAAATTTATCGCCCATGGTCTCGAATTGTTTCACACAAAGTTTGTACAGATGGTTGTTTTAGCTACTGTGCACTCATGCACCATGGTTTCGATGCACCCTATACCCCTACCCCTGACTCATGGAAGTCGTAGCCTTGTTTTCATTCCGAAGGCCCCCCCCCCTCCCATTCTCCCCACCCATCGTTCAGTGGTGCAATGTGGTAGCTCGAAGCTTCGCTGGATTGTACGAATTGCAGTTCATGGTGTAGTATTTGAGAGAATATATGCACGATGCATGATTTTAGTGACTCGCAACACTTTATTTACCATTACTATACTTAACATCACTATACAAGAGGGACCGTTCAGTTTGCAGCCCTGGCTATGACTTCCCTCGAGCCAGCCGATCAGTGAAGAGGATAAAAGTAAAAGTAAAAAGCAGTAGGGGTAGTCTCCTGGTAGTGAGTGCATCGAAACTCTGGTGCGTGAGTGTACATATTAATTTTCGAGTGTGCTATGTTGGAGGGGCGATTTTAAAGTGTTCTGTAATTTAAGACAATGGAACTAATGACCTAAGAAGATAGCTTATATGTAGTTTGAACTTTAATTATAAGGTAAGTCACATCAAATATGAACCCTCGCTAGCTATTTAAAAATTTATAAACAGCCATGCCATTAATGATAGCTATCAGTGCAGTGTAGGATAAAGCCTACTACATAATATACTGTAGTTTCATTTTGTCAGTTCAAGAGTCCATTTCATCATTTACCTATACAGTACAAGTACTTAAAAAATTTTAATTTAAACATTGTAAACAGAGCCCATAGTGGTGTCTAGAGGAAAGAAGCAACTGGAGGTGAGTGCCTTTTGTTGTCTATTGAGGCCCTTTAATTTCTTTTGGTTTAGTAGACTACAATTCTGCATTTTAGTAATACATCTAATAATTAGTAAGTCTCTTCCCTTCATTTTAATTTTACACCATTTCGATTTTTCAAAAACATTTCCCCCCTGCACCCTCACCTGGTCCTTTCTAGTACAGTATAAAAATAATGACCACACCCTTGTTATAGGGTGCCTGAGAGGGTTCGTAAATGACTCGCAGCAACCTACATTACATTAAACTCTACATGGTGTCCTTGAATATCTATGTCTGACAGAATTTTATGAACTCTCTCATTTTGGGTTTTACTCTTTCAATGTTGATATTTTTTTCCACGCTGGCCCTGCAGGGACTTATCTACAGCATACGGGTATACAATATTCTTTACTTTAAAGAGGTCTTGCTCTATTGCTCAACATAATTTTTGCTAAATTCTGAAAGTCTGTTATCTGTGTAACCACAGTGTGCGGAAATTTTATACCATATCATCACATGAAAATCTTAATAATGAAATACAGTATAATCTACTTGTGTAAGACTGAAATTTGGTACACTGATATATCAACTCATCCTATGTATTTTGTTTATATAATAGGAGTTTGACCTGGTCATTAATCTGCCAATGCGTGGTGGAGGTGCGCGACGTGTGTCCTCCTTTGTGACCCAGGGATATCGTACCCGTCGTATGGCTGTGGACTTCTCTGTCCCCCTTGTCACTGATGTCAAGTGCGCCAAGTTATTGGTCGAGGTAAGTCAATTTCTTCGTTCACACATCCATATTACAACTCCTGTTATTCACTGTACACCATGCCAGACTGTTGACAGAAGTACATTTTGACTGGACATCCATCAACAAAGAACTATGGTGATTCCTAAAGTAACTGAAATATGTGATAAAAAAACAAAATTTCAGCAAAATGTATTATTCATAAAAACTTAGACCTATTTTGTAGTTAGAGAAGAATTTAGAAAAATATAATTTTGTGTGGCCATGTTTCTTTACTTGGTGTTACAATCATGTACAGTACAGTACTAGAATAATTCTTTCAGATGATGACTGTGCTACAAGAACACACACACACACACACACACACTCTCTCTCTCTCTCTCTCTCTCTCTCTCTCTCTCTCTCTCTCTCTCTCTCTCTCAGATGAGTGAATGTTGGAAGGGAATAATTAAAACAGCTCTGGGCCATGGGAACTTACAATAATTTTAACTGAGTACAATCCCCTCAAACCCCCGAGAAACTGATGTTCAGAAGTATTTTACCCTAGAGAGGACTTCGAACTTTGATACCAGAATCTTTTGTTTGTTTATCCTCTTTGCCACTGATCAGCTCGTTAGCCGCTTGAGCGGTCATCACTTCTCTGTTACTCACTGTTGGCAAGTACTAGGCATGTACTGCCCCCTGAATATATCTAAACCTGCAGTTTCCAACAGGTTAAACAACAGTTAGTAGGTAGTAGTTTACAGGTAGTAGGTACGTAGATAGGCAGCTACCAAACAGGGAAGTACTACTGCCTGGGAAGATATTGGAAGCATAATGTGTTGTCTAATGGTAGACCCTGCTGCCATATGGCATCACGAAAATTGTGACCAAGTCCCAGGTTGCTGATATGACTTTCTGCCTCATTTACACACAATTGCAGGGTCTCCATTGTTTCTCTTACTTGGACAACACAACATATATAATGTATATAATTTCTCACTCTTGATTTATTTTTTCAAATTTTTATTTATTTATGGTTATTATTTTTATTATTTTATTTGTATTAATTTGCTATTAATTTTATTAATTGTTGTAATAATAATAATAATAATAATAATAATAATAATAGATATTTTTATTATAATTATTATTATTATTATTATTATTATTATTATTATTATTATTTTTATTATTATTGTTTATTATTATTATTATTACTATTATTATTATTATTATTATTATTTATTATTATTTATTATTATATTTTCGCCCCCCCAGGCCCTGATGTGGGTCATTACCTGTGCCCGGGTGGGCTAATGCCCGTAAAAAAAAAAAAAAAAAAGTTAGCCTGTTTCAACATCAACACATTTCTTAGACACGTTAAAATATAATCATTGCTTCAAAGTGAAAAGGGTGTGTTTGAATACTGTACTATACAGTGCAACATGACCAAACCAAAAATATAAATTTGTGTAAATGGGATCTACAGTAGGCATGACATTATTGTGGGAAACTCCTAACAGTATTGAAGCTATCACCATCAGTTACCATTCTCATCATTACCATCATGGCCACGAGTCCCTTAATCACCATCATGGCCACGAGTCCTTTCATCTCCATCATGGCCACGAGTCCCTTCATCACCATCATGGCCACGAGTCTTGTGAGTGAGGAGGAGAAATGGGAGGTTATTCGGCAGGCAAAAAACTTAGCAAGGAGCGAGGCATCTCGGGGTGTATTCATTCACCCAGATCGCACGGTAATGCAGAGGGAACAGCACAAGAAGCTCCTGCAGGACTTGAAGCAGAAGAGGGAGGAGTCAAGGAGGAATGGGGACGGGTGTACATGGGTTATATTCAGGGGGAGGGTAGTGGAAACAAGTGTGCCGACACAGGGCCAGGGGGCAGCAGTGCACCCTCCACCCACTCAACCCCCCACCCGGGAGGCGGCACCAGCTCAGCCTACCGGACAGGAGGGAACGAGCGCCGTGTAAACAATGACATTTTTAACCACACACTGCAAAATACAGTGTACTTAGCAAATGCTGCAGCTTCTGAGAATGTGGGTGGAGCGGGTTTATTACTAAGAGCAGAGACGTTACCGAGAACAAATTCTGGCTTGAATGTCATGTACACTAGATACTGACACATTCCTTGATAAGACAGAGGAGTTTGAAACACTACTGAAAGTACACCAACCAGATATTGTAGTTGTAGAACTGTTGTACAAGAACGGGAGAATCGACCCAGAGGAATGTGAGTTCAGTATTGCTGGATATGACTCATTTACGAACCTTTCTCAAGAAACGTGCAAGAGGGGTGTGGTTATCTACGCTAGGCAAGACCTTGAATTGAATTGAAACAGTTTATTTAGCCAGAAAAACACATGCAGAGTGGATAATAATAACAATATTAACATGGCTGAGCCAGTTGAGAACTTAGGCTCTCTTTTAGGCATCTGATATATACTATACATTTATCTCAAGGAAGTATTATGTAACATTTAGTATCATCTGGAATAGTACAATAGTGGTGTAAAATTAAATTAAAGGGAGGGCACTTTCTTATCGTCAGGTGTATCTACAGAGCCCCAAACTGTGGCCCACTAAATCAAAGGAACTTAAGAGCCTTAATAGACAACGCGGCGATGCTCAACCCTAGCCACCTCCTTATCATGTGGGACTTTAACTATGGCAACATCGACTGGAGAAACGAGTTCACCCCAAATGACTTGAATAACCCTGCTACTCTTTTTGTAGAAACTCTGAGAGATAATTTTCTGTTTGAAATGTTAGAACCCGACACATTACAGGAGCAAACACCCAACCATGAACTCATCATAAAAAAGAGGAGATTATGGTGGCCAAACTGGAACACCTGCCTTTGATTGGCACCAGTCACCATATAGTGTTATCATTAAGATTTAACTTGGTTATCTAGTTTAAGATAAAGGCCAGGCCAAGGTGCAAATATTACAAGGGAAATTACAACGGTATGAAGGGAAGAGATGGGGTATGAACTGGCCCTGACTCATTAGGCGCAAAAGAACGCAGGTACTACGCTGAATATCATAACTAGTAAAGTGACCCATTTTATCGATAAATATATACCCAAGACCAAATCCAGTGCCTCTAGGAATACGATGGGATCCCTACACATGAACCATGCGGCGGTCGACAAAGTTAAGAAGAAAACCAGAAATTCAAGACGGGGGTTGGGTCAAACGATAAGCAGGACAAGAGGATGTACACAGTATGCAAGAGCCAGAAACCAAACAAAGATAAAGTGTAGAATGGCTGAAATGGAGTTCAGGGCTGGTTACAAGCGAGGTCAAGTCAAACCCAAAGGTGTTTTACCGCTATGCAAAGTCAAAATTAAAAACGCGAGTAGGAGTATCAGACTTTTGGCTTGAAGATGGTAGTTATGCAGATACTGACCAGGTTAAAGCCGAGGCATTGAACAGCTTGTTTTCGTTGGTGTTCACAAGAGAGGATGAGATTAACCTTCCTACGTTTGAGGACAAACGGTTCGACACAGCACTGACCCACATTTTGTTCACAGAAGAGGGTATTAGATATAAACTATCAAAGCTAAAGGTCCGCCAAGACTCCCAGCCCTGACAGGGTTACTCCAGAGTGCTAAGAGAGTTGTGCAACGAGCTTGCAGAGCCCCCGAAAGATCCTGTTTTGTAAATGCCTGGATGAACCAAAGGTCCCCAGTGAATGTTAAGTGGCTTATGAGTCCTATCTTCAAGAAGAGCGATATTTCCTCCACACGAACAACTATAGACCAGTGAGCCTGACCAGCATAATATATAAAAGTACTTGAGTATTATCAGAGATGCCGCGATGGAACATCTACTACAAAACAACTTGTAAAGGATTGCCAACACGGTTTTATGTAGGGCGCTCCTGCTTAACACGATTCCTCAAGGTATTGGATATTTGGACCCATATTCTGGAACGGTGGTAATATCGACAATATATACCCTAGATTTTGCCAAGGCTTTCGACATTGTACCCACGAAGGCTGAAAATAAAAAACTGGAAGAATTGCAGATTCGGGGAAATGTCCTAGCGTGGATAGAAGACTTTCTACATGACCGCAAGCAGTGTGTGGTGATTAATGGCACGAAATCATCGTCCGTACCTGTCTAGCGGTTATCACAGGGCAGTGTATTGGGCCCGCTGTTGTTTGTTTCATATATTACATGCCTGACGTTGTACACTCCTCCATACAAATGTTTGTCGATGACGCCAAGTTATTTAGGGAAATCAAGATCCATGTGGACTGTGAAGAGCTGCAGAAGGATCTCTGTGAACTTCAAGAATGGTCGAAGAAATGGCTGCTGAGATTCAATGTCACGAAATGTAAGAGGATGCACCTGGGGCGTACCAACATTGTGGGAGGCGTATCATATGTCCCAACGGGATAAAGAAACTGCACTATTTGAGACTGAATGTGAGAAGGACCTATGTGTGTATGTTGGCAATGAGCTGAAGTTCTGGGGCCATTGCGAGAAGAAGGTAAACCAGGCAAATAAATAATTGGGTCTTATAAGAAGCTCGTTCAGATTCATCTAGACCGTCCGTTCCTCGTAATGATCGTCAAAAGTGAAGAGCTTCCCTATCTGGAGTACTGTCACCTTGTCTGGTCCCCGAGATATGCTAGGGAACTGTCAGTTGGTTGAAAATGTTCAAAGGAGGGCCACTGAACTGGGTGCCTGAACTTCGGCCTCAACTACCCTGAGGGGTGGAGCGCCTGAACTTGCCTAGCTTATACTACACGCGGGCAAAGGTTGACCTAATTCCGGATATAAGCTCGCCCCACTCAGGGGTCACAGCTCAGATTGAAGAAGCCGCAGGCCTAGAAAACTGTGAGTGCAAACTTTTTCGGGCAGGTTGTGAACTCTTGGAACAATCTACCAGAAAGTGTTGTGTCGGCACCAGTGTCAGCTCTTTCAAGACAAGACTAGGCAACACTGGTACATTCAGGAGCCGGTGCATGCCCAGTAATTGCCAACAGTGCGAAACAGAGACG